CTTCAGGTGGCACCGGCAACTAGTGGTACAGCAAAATGCACCCACCAAGCCGAACTACTTCCGATCTTTACTGGCTGACGTTCCAGCGATGTCACCTTCTTCGTAGCCTAGAAAAGCGGGAGACGTTTAAGAACACTCTTCCAGTTGTCATTTCGATCCCAATCTACACGGAATTCATCAGAGTCACGAACTTCTGAAACGATGTGACGGACGATTTTTAAAACATTCGACCTTTAGGAGAATCGGGCTTTCAAAAACCTTTAGGAGAAGCTCCTCGATGGACCTTCAGAAAAATCAACCTGAGAGGACCATCTCTCACTTTGTAGTAATGATGCGGTCCTAATAGGTTAAGCCTGAATGGGTTTAGCTTTTATTTTTAGCATTCACGATAAGCAGTAGCTTCGCTTTGCAAGTATTTTGATTTTTTTCGATCCATAAGTCGCATGGCTTTCTAAGGAGCGTGCAGCACGTGAGAAATTCTTCGTTTTATGGGCACTCAACGCCCTCGCCGACTTTTGCTAAATAGGGAGCAGATAACGTTTACAAGCCACTAAAATGGACAGCTTTGGATTTCGTGCATATTTCAGCTGGCCGTGCTGTTTTCTCCTATCATTCACACCTCCTACGCATTGTATGGAATTCTGCCCGAATGACGTCCTTTGCCCGCCTATTCCCCTACAAAATGGGTTTGGTTGTCAGCCCGCCCCCTGGCACATATGCCTGCAGCTCGTCACCTGTGACGTTTGCGGACTCTTTCGTCGTCCAGATCGCTTTATAAGCCTCTGCTTGCACCTTTGACGAATCAGTTCAAAGTCCTAGCTCGTCCAACTTCGGTACTGTTCGTAGATCGTTCCCACACTAATATTATTCTGTTGAGTGGTGACTCTTACAATTACGTATGCGAATTTGTGATGCAGGCAGTAGGGCGATCACTGCATATTACACCTCCTCACTAACATTTTCTAATGCTGAACAGATGTGTATCTATTCAACTCCATGTTGCTTGGTTTTGATCTTGATAATGTTTTCCCGAAATATTCCCGGACAACAGCATGATGTGTCAAGTAACCCCACAGGGAGCTCATTACGAGCTTGAATGGATTATAAACCGGAACGAGGAGTCACACCTTCAAAATCAAAGATTTCGATCTTGCGGTCTTCTTACTACATAGTTGTCACGTGAAAGCTGAGTCATGGGCAAAGTTTGACCCTATCCTGCACATGGACTTTACCCTCACGCTTACCGTGTTAGTACTCTTAGGGTCACCACTTACGCATGATTCATCTTTCTTGTGACTTCTGATCACGAACTTTAAAAACCTTCTGAACTTCGGTTCAGTGAGGACTGTCACTTGAAGTTCGCGTTTTATTCCTTGCCATTAGACATGCAGTCGTATACGGATTGTATTACCGTTCCGTGCAGCTTATATGGACTGTTAACTACTGCTTTTCCTTAAGCTGTTTGCATAGAGCAAAGAAGAGATTTACCAGTTGTTGTGGTAGGTTGTTGTCCAACATGCCGTTCTTTTCGTTTTCGTTCCAAGTTTTAGTTCTAATGATTCGATGAGAAAATGGAGAAAGTGTGCCCCAAAGTTGGTACAATCGACATTCGGCTCACTGTAATTTGATTTCTATCAGAGAGGACGGTGAGGGGAGGGGTCGTGATTGGCTTTTTAAAACATTTTTCCCTTGTCGGTTCTCCTGTTTGGGTGGCTGCTTTCTACCTCAGGTTCGTCTAGCGTTGGGAGAAGGTCGCACTTACATGGCATTTTCCTTATCATAGTGGTCCCCTAGATGTTAGAGAAAGAAAGCGGGGACTGCCGTGTGTCTCAATTTTGCTCTTCACATCTAACCATCTGGTTCAAAATTGTGTACTCTTCGCTTTATCGTGTTGAGACGATTTTTTCCTGCTTTATTTTTTGTTAATTCTCGAAATCCTTTTTTCGACGGTAATTATGGTGCAACAAAAGTTTTAAATTTACAGAAAATGATTGGAATGGTCAATGTGCAGTGCGATTCACCAATAGACTTCTATGCTGCGGCACCTGTTCATTTAACTCCACGGAACTCCAGACGGGAAATAAACGGACGTAAGCAGCAGCTTCAATACCAGTTTTCAAATAATAACCAAGCCTACCATAAAGAACGATTTCGGTGTGTTCGCTTAGGGGTGGGTAAAGGGAGCAAGGTGGAGTTCACATTGCGCTTTCGCGTCGGCTTAAGATTGCGCATTTCCTGTTTAAAACAGTGCGCGTCTCATCTTGGTGATACCTGTGATTCTTGTCGGCTTTCGATAGGAATCGCCACTGATCGATAAGAGCCAGCAAGTTGCCCCCACCAAGAGGAACTGCCCGATTCCGTTTTCTCACCATAGGTGTTAGTTTCTGAAGAGTAAGTAGTGCAGGGGGTCCGGCGTCAGGAAAATGTCTAAATTGGAAATTCAACTTCGTGCTAGTATGAACTGGCCATCGTTGATATGTTCCCTTTTTCAACACTACAGCAGTATGTTTGCATAAAATTACTGGTTTCAGCATCGAGGCCTCCTATGAAGCGAACCCCGTCCTACTGCGACGCATTGTTCAGCGAGCCACAAGCTACAAAATTGAATACTCTCCTGACGGAAGAAAAATGACCGACGGTGTTATAACGGAGGTGAGAATTTTTTCGTTGAATGACTCATTCTCTTCCTCAACATCTGGTAAATAGTCCGAAGTAATTGGTTTCGGTTTTTATCCGAAAGAACGCGTTTGAGCTGTAAAGTCCTCATGTTGAGCCGCGAATGTTTCGTAAGAGTCATCGTATGGGGAGATTTGCATTTCACAAAGGCAGGAATCAAGGTGTGATGACATTTAATCGTCTCTGGAGAAATAAGTCGCTTCGAGTTCTATCAAGAAGAAAGCAAAGCAGCGACGACGTGCTATTCTCCAGGGTTGAGAACTTTCACTTTTGGGGGCAAACTCTGAGTAACCAATTACTATTGTCGAACAACCCGTGTGTGCCACAGCCAGGGTCCGCCGTACGCTGAGGATTCCTCAGAACGATAGGGGACGTATTTCAGCCGTGATGGAAAGAGTTGGGGTCGGAAAGGTTGAAGAGAATAGGGTTGAAGAAAGACCTTCCATCATGGCGCGGAGTGGTTACAGTTTCCGACACGAAAGTAGATACGGGTCCCCTGAATTGAGTGCTCCTGCTTGACCGCTCCAATTTGGCCCAAATATTATTCCGGTGGTCTCTCATGACATCTTCCGTCATTCTACAGTCTATAACTGCAAACGATAGAGAATGCGACGCGGCACGTAGTGGAGAGCAGCCAAGATGGCCTTGTTCCAACAATGTTGAGGCATGTCAAGAGGCCGGATTTGGCACGGCGCCAACCAGTTATGCAACAACTGTCGAAGCCAGGTGGAACATGCCAATAAAATCGCGCCGATTCCGTCTCCTGACAAGCTTCAGCAACCGTAGCGAGCAGGACTGCAAGCTTCACCTCTTGTCGGCACAGCACCTCTGCACATGGGAGGGCCACGTCTCCAGAAAATTTCTCAGCGAAACTAACATCATGCAACACTTCCTGACTAGTTAGATTTCAGAAGGCGGAGCCAAATAAGCTATGGGAAGGAACTGATCTTACGCACCTTCGTGAATCGTTTTGAGGATGAAATTCAGAGCCCTGTTGACTCGTACAAGACATTAGAATCAGAATTGGCAAAGTTGAATGTCAAAGGTGAGGGTAGGTTCTTTCTCGCATTCATTGTTCACGCTGAATACAATTGGAATGTTTTGCATTTCCTATTCTCTTAACAGAATGATTTCAGACCCGTCACTGTACCGCTTCCACCTACTCACTTGGTGTCTCCGAATCGAATTGAAGGTGTTGAAATGCAGTTGGAGGAAGAGGAATCGAGCGATCGAAAGTGAGTGAATTCGATTGATAGAAATTATGAATAATCAAATCGAAACGGTTCGATTCTATTCGATTCGTCACACGTTCCTATCATAAACGCGACTTTCCAACACTGGGTAAACATTGCTGTCTCATCAGTTCACGACACCTGTGCGAATTCGCTCTTGGGGTTACTTGGAATTCAGATGGACGAATCATAAGGCGCAGTTCCCGTAGGCCAAAACTTAAGGATTTTCTGGATTTTCTACCAATAAGTGTTCAAACTTGCATTTGACCAATAAGCGACTTGAAAAAGAGCACTTGTGGTTGGGGGATTCTCCAAGCAGGGCAGATTATCAGTCGGGATTTTGGTCGAGTGCGTGACCCCCTCCTAGCAACTAGCAAATACGACCCACCCCCTTTCTAGCGTCCTTGAAAAATGAAAGTCAATCATCGAGAAATTTTTTATCTCAGACTAAGAACGACCTTCCCGCCGTCAAGGACCTGATATGACTCCCCGTGTTGGGGATCCCCAGCGATGATAAGCTCTTTCCCCAAGAGGTGAAAGGTCCTATTGCAGTCATCAAAAATGAGGGTTGTACCCGTTCAGAAGATCGACACTGGTAGGAAACACATGATGGCAGGTCACGCGTTTTTGCTTGATACGACCGTCCCCTC